TTTCCAGAGCTTTCTTGCTTCACTTTCAGCTTCCATCCAATTCAGCCGGCCTTTCAATGTAGCTGGGATACAAATCCACGGCGCTGCAGCCATCACAGGGGCAGATTGAGCATAAAAAGCCAAGCTACATCTAGCTTCATTTTCAAACTCAGACGCAACTTGTGTCCGCTCGCCTCTGCCAAGTGTCTGTGCATATAATATAATAAAATAATCCCTTTCAAGACAATGGGTCTATGCTTCATATATTTTTATAGTGCCATGGTCATGTTTGTAAATCTTTATACAAACTGGGTTGCTGTGTTACCTTATTGTTCCAAGCCAAGAGGTTAATTGAATTCAGAGAGTGTGGCTGTAACTCAAGACCGTGTCCTCAGATGACCAATCAGATGTTGTTTTTGAAAATAGAATTGCTATATCATTGTGAACCCAGTCTTTCGAGTAACACACACACACGCACAAACACACACATACGTACACATACGTAATTTTTTAGTACATCATTTCATGGCTTTTTTGTTCATTAATAAAACGTTTTTAATGGTTTGTCCTGTATTATTTTTAAGACAAAAGGGTCCACACCCGACTAGGAGCTTGTAATCTCTCATTTATCAAAGGTAAATCTAAACTACTACTACTGCACCAATCAGGCTCATCTTCCCCTGAAATTCCACAAAAAAATCCCAAAAAAACTCCAGGTAATTTTTTTAATGACCACATAATTCATATAAACCTCTCAGAATTGTGCCATTGAGCCAATAAATAGAAATAATTTTGGACATGACCTAAAATACTAAAAGTAGATGTATTTATGTACACAGAAGATACAAATTATTTTTAAACAAACTTTTTAGTCTTTTTGTCAACACGTTACAAGTATAAATATTCAAATTGCAGGTGTAAGTTTGTGAAGCTTCTAAAGGGACAATTGTCACAAGTTTATTATTCCATGATGGACTGCATTTGCATTTGAAACAGAGCTTATACATGGCCAATCAAGAGCGATAAAGCCAAACAAAAGATAAAAGAATCAGAAGGGCAAAAATGAAAGCCTGGACACAGAGAGCAAACAGGAGCAAAGACACAGAGAACAAAGCCAATGGGAGAAGCATCAGTGCTGACCAAGTGGCAGTCGAGATGAGAAGCTAAAGCCTGCGGCACGACCCCATCTCCATAAGCCCCACTGACTCCCATTGGTCAGTCCAGCCTTGAGCCCTGCAATAAATACATTTTCAATTACAAGCACAGGGCAACAAAAAAGAAAGACTAGAGAGAAGCGAAGACATATGCCCCTGGAGCAGACTATATGAACCCTTTTGGCAGTCCCTGTGCACGCATGCATCACTGGCCGCCTCTGCTCAACCATCGGCCAGCCTGAAATGCAAGGGGCTTTGATGAGACACCTGCACTGTAAGGGGATCTTTACTGGAACCCCATGCAACCTGAACCCTGTACCCCTGATGGATGGTGGGTCGCTAGGGTTGTTGGCCTGAGCTGGACTCCAGACATACCACCAACCAATGCCTTTGAAGATTATTATAGGTGGCTGTTGTCAAGACTAATTTAGGGTCTACGTCAGTGGCGGTGGATATGGGAGAGCAGTGAAACCTGTGACACAGTATAACTCCCTCATTGGGCTCCCCGGTCTGTTAATGTAGAAACTATGTGCAGAGAGTTAACATGCCGGCCGTCTGGACTGACATGGTAATAAAAGCCTGAACTAAAAGGCACTGCTTATTTTCACAGTCTGGCAGCTATGTAAAGACCATCCAGGCCCTAAAAAAGCACTGGATAATTCAATATGCAGTCATATAACATATAGCTGAAAACCTCATTACAATACAGTACAATATCTATTGCAGTATTGTGGTGAAGCCGAGCCTGACTAACACCAAACTAATTATGACAAGTGAACATTAGTTTGTCAACCGTCCGTTAATTTTTCCGTGGGAGATGCGTGATTATGAATGTCTATCAAATGGATGCCTTGTTTCTGTCAGTGTGCCGCAAGGCAGCTGTGGCTACAGTAGTAGCTTGACACGCCGCTCTCATGTGTGGAGTGAGAGGACAAATGTCCACAACAATTGTAAAGCGCTTTGCAACTCTGGTCTTGAAATGCGCTATGTAAATAAAGATTACTTAGTTACTTTAAAAAAATGCATTGGTTTTGTATAGTGCTTTTTTGGACAAACAAAGACACTTCACATGTCCTTTTTCACTCCATACACGTGGTAATGAACTACTACTGTAGGCCCAGCTGTCCTGGTGCACACTGACAGAAGCGAGAAAACCAGTATGTGCCATCGGCCCCTCCAACCACCACCAACCATTCACACACACACCAGTCTGTGGGTGAAGTGTCTAGCCTAAGGACACAACGACAGTTTGGCACAGCAGCCGCTCCACTGTAGCACCTGGTGTGCCCAGAGGTCTTCCATCACAGTACTAACCAGACCCTAACCTGCTTAGCTTCAGAAGGTCTGACGGGATCTGGCTTTCACATGCAGGTGGCCTAAATGCGATATATCTGTCTGCACGTATGCAGCAATCAAAATACAACAAGAAGGGAAAAAGCAAAAAATACGAATAATGTTGATACAATGATGCCAAACATTTTCGACAGTGTGTGAAAGTTAAATATGAGAGATAGCATCGGGTCTGCTCTCAAAGACCTGAGCAAAACACCGTGGATTCCATGCTGGTCTGGCCTAATCCATCCCTCCAAACTCAGTCTTACTTTCTACAAAATGTGTCCCATGGCTGTGCATGGTGCACTGCCCCAATAACAAAAGCATTCAATCATTATATTCTGACACATTCAATACAAACAATGTAGTCTTGAAACCTGAGCACTCTCCTCTGCCTGCTTTATCTGTCATCAATGTGACATAGGGTGACACGGTGGCTGAATGGATAGCGCTCTTGCTTCTCAGCAAGAAGGTTCTGGGTTTGAATCCCAGTCGGACAAGGCCTTTCCGAGTGGAGTTTGCATGTTCTCCCTGTGTTTGTCTAGGTTTCCTCCAGGTGCTCTGGTTTCCCCTACCACTAAGAACATTCACACTAGGTAAATCTTCCAGCTCCAGTAGTCCTGACCAAGCAAAGCATCGACATCTGGAGCTGGGTTCCCAGGCGCTGTACTACAACGACCACTGATCCTGACAGAGGCCCTAGTGGGAAAAAGTTTCATACCAGGATAATATAAAGTGACCATTTACATTTACATTACTTTGACTTCAGCTATAGTCTGTCCATTGCTATTCAACCGCTGTTGTCTGTTTCATGGCATGCTGATGGTACCCTTGAATCCGACCTCTTTAATCTGCACCTGTGGACGCTCTCTCATGGCCCCATTTAGACGGAGGCGCTGCGCAGACGTTGCCAAGCTTTTAACAGAAACGACCAGGCACCTTATGCAAATTTCACAGCGTTCATACGAGGATGAAAAACGATGTGGTTCTAATGCCCGGCCAGTAGTGGGCAGAAAAACGTTACAACACGACACGCGCGAGCCCCAGCCCCCCCCCCCCACAATATATTCACTTCCTCAACAACATCCACAGCAAGACGTGAAAGAATGCACCAACATCATTCTACATTTAGCAGCAGCTACAAAAATGGAAAAGAAACTAGAGCTTTGCCTGATTTCGTTTGGACAAACAAAGGAGTAGAATTCTCCTCCATGTAGCGCTCAAAGTACACGTAGCAAGTTAGTGTACCCGCCGCCATTGTTTCACATATGTTTTTGAGCTGTCCCACTCTGCAGGATAGATCTTAAAGCTTACGTTTTCACCCCCTTGGAACACAGTCTTCATGTGAACGGGAGGTAGCAACCGAAATCCAACTATAGCGTTTTACATCCGCAGCGTCTCCGTCTAAGCAAGGCCTAAGACTCATGGGTAGCACTCCCCCAACGTGGCGCTTCAGACCTGCACCACATGGCCTCGGTCCTCATTCTACAGCCTGAGTCCTGAATCTGTAACTTGTCATTCCGTGGCAGCGGATCTCTCCTTCAGTGTGGACCTTCCTGAGGTTTCTCACTTTTTCATAAAGTTTTTTTTGTGTTGGTCTTTGCCAAGAACAGGAAGGTCTAAGGACAGTGGTGATGATCAAGGACATTTAAGGACATTTATTAACATTTGTGGACATTGGTCATCAATGTCAGAGATAACTGCCGTTTTAAGTTGGGGCTATACAATATAAATCAAATTGAATAGAGCTTGCACTCTCTTTAGTAAGTAAGTATCCATCCGTCCATTTTCTTCCCCTTATTCCATTTCTGGGTCGGGGGGTGGCACACAGAGCCCCTGGGAGTAAGTAAGTAATCTTTATTTATATACCGCCTTTCACAGACCAGAGTCACAAAGCGGTTTACAATTGTTATTTTTCGGCACTTGTCCTCTCACTCCACACAGAGAAGGGAGCGGGGTCGCCAGTACATGAGGCGCATGCCAGACCTATTGTGCATGTTTTTAGTGGTAGGGGAAACCGGAGTACCAGGAGGAAACCTACGTAGACGCGGGGAGAACTTCTTGCTGAGAGGCGAGAGTGCTATCCACTCAGCCACTGGGCCGCCCTTTATCACATCAAGAGCTGCTTTTACAACAATAGCTCTCTGCACTAGAAAAAATAAACATTTTACTCAACAAGAAAAAGTGTAAGGAAGTGACTTACGAGACATTTATCTATGCTTTAAAAGACGTAGGGCCTCTGTAGTACATTAAAATGGCTCTACTTGCCTTGCCTTGTTTTCCATGAAGTAAGGATTAAAAGCTAAGAGCGAAAGTGCCCAAGGGTCCCAAGGTTAAAATGAAGATTTCATGCAAGCAGCATTATTTTCTAAATGTATTTTTTATTTTTTGTAGCTAAGCAAACAACTCACATTACTACCTGTCCCCCCAAAATGCCTTCCTCCTCCCTGGGAATGTGGGTTTCCATGACGATTGTGACACAATATACCAGTCACCAGGCACTGCCAAATATGGAATTGCGCAAAGAAGTCAGTGATGAGTTTGTCGGCAGGTCTGGATTCTGCACAAAGGTGGGTGCAGCCTCTGCAGCACAGGCTGTCACTACGCACCGCCCAGGGTCACGGTCTCCCCTCTGAGTACCATGACCGCTACGGTAATTGCTCAAATTGGTGAAAAAGGCCTGAGCATTCCAGGAGTGTCACAGGGGCTGGGTTTGTGTGGGCAAAATGTGAGCCGGATTCCCTGATTCCTGGGTGGATGTGAAAGGATTTACGCACTTTGGAATTCCCCCATTTTGTTTCTGCTCTCCTGTCACTGTCCGCCCATCACACCACCCACCCCTTGATCTGGCACAGCCTCTGAACAGAAAAGCAGAGAAAGGGTGGGAGCAGAGAGACGCGCTCGAGGTCAGAGGAAGAATGTGGACAGGGGTTCTCTGGTCAGTGTGGGTCAGTAGGTCAAAGGACTTCCAAGATCATGCAGTCAGTGCGTTTACATGGGCTCATGATAGAGAACCCAACAGGACAGTATAAGCAAAAGCACAGAACTGTAATGGGTTCCTTGTTAATGATTATTACACAGCACATGAAACTGAAGAATACAAGGTGGCCGCTTTTTGTAAATTGTTGTGGGCATTTGTCTCTCACTCCTCAGAGAGAAAGGAGTGAGGTCGGCAGGAGCAGCATGCTAGACCTATTGTGCATGTTTTTAGTGGTAGGGGAAACCGGAGCACCCAGAGGAAAACTATGCGGGCACGGGGAGAACATACAAACTCCACTCAGAAATATCCTGTTCTGACAGGGATTCGAACCCAGGACCTTCTAGCAAATAATCTATGCAAATAATAAGTAAGTAATTATCAATCAATCAATCAAACACATACACACACACAAATCATCATCCTACCAACCTTAGCTGCCAAGAACAATTACTCCATGAACTTCTGAATCCAGAAGACAGTGACTTCAAACAAAGGCTTCCCTTTAATTGTCTTGTATATATATTTATCTATTGCTGTTATTGATTTTAGTAGCTGTCTGTTTCTTTGAAAGCTTCAGAGCTTCACCTTCAACAACACCATACAATAATGCCAAGTCCAGAGAGGGGAGTATATGTGACTATATGTTGGCAATACTCTTTCACTGAATAAAATGTATGTACTGTGTAGAGGAATCCTGTTATTTCCGCACTGCTCCATGAGGAGGCATTAGGGTTAGACTGGGCAGGAGGTTGTGGGAAACATGGTCAGATACAGGAGCTGATGTGATTTAGGTTTCCCTTAAGGAACACATGGGGACTTTGACAGACATTGGCCTCCTGCTCAGGCTGAGGTCTGCAATTACACAGGACATAAACACGAAGCACAAGGCCAGCCTGGAGTGAGGCTGACTGGAGCTGCGTGGGCCCCTGGGAACGGAAAACACCACGCGGCTTTGGGAGGCCACAGAAAAGCTGGCAAAGCACCGCAGATGGTCATCGCGTGACTGTCCAGAGAGGAGAGAGGATTGGCCATTCAAATGAGAAGAGGAGATTTCAAGGGTTGTAATCATGAAAGGGATAAAAATATATAGTAAAACAATATGCCAAGATAAGGCCTCCTTCAAGTTAATCACAATTTTAATTTGAGTTTAATCACTTTTAAAATCTTCTTGTTGCAGTGCCTTGAGCTTTGAAAGTACATGAAAAATAAGTTGGGGGTTTGGTGCTACTACTATCCTAAAATAAATAGGAAGCAGTAATTTTAAACATTTCCCAATTTAAGTGTGCCATAAGTGACATTGCAGCCACAATGCGACGGCTGCCACAGTCATTTACTGTAATGAACTGAGTCTTTGTGAGCAAGTGCTCTTCAGGGAGTTCTCATTGACCCTGTCTGAAGACAACAGTCCCTGTATAGATGTCATACCACATAAAGGTTTTGAGCAACAGTGAGAGTGTTGCCTTGAGGATAAAAAGAATGGCCGTGAGATCATATTTACTCACTATTCAAAGTGCTTTATATACGCCCATCGGCCACATCCTATTTGGATAAATGAGGAACAGAGGGACCGGCCGATGGACTTGAGTGCATTTTCCACAGTCAATTCAGTGCGGGACCTGACATAAGCATGGGAAAGCAAATAACCCGGATTAGGCTTCTTCAAAGGGCTGGCTGTGGTGAAAGATGGGAGCAGGAGGAGCAGACAAAGGTGGGAGTTAGCAGAAGTGTTTCGTATATGAAACGGGTTGGTGTGTGGGATACAGTGTGATTTTGGGGTTGATTTTGCCACAATTTTTTGTTTGACAAAATTAAGATTGAGGCAAAATTCAGATCCCCTGTGCATCAGATTTGTAGAGTGTTAAGTGGGATTGTGAGCTGCAATCATATACTCACAAAGAACTTATAAACTGCTGCTGAGATATCAAACTAAGATGCAGGGTATAAGCTGCTTAATCACTGTCAAAGCCCCATGAACACTGTAAAGTAAAGAGGACAGTAAATACTGTGCAGAGGGGCTGGATGCAGAAGGAAGGCTGCAGCCTCATCTGAACGAATCACTGCGGTGCAGACTTTTGTTCAGAAAATAAGTTACGTTCATGAAACTATTTGGTCAAAATACCTTCATAACATGAAACAATAAAACTAAAATACAAATGATAATAACTGTCAGTTAAACTGGAATATTAACAATGTTAATGCAAGCCCATTTTAACAGCCTTTATTTTTTTCTGATGCAACAACTATTAACGTTAGAAAAACAACATCTGGAGCTGGAACAGAAACAAAACAAAGTAGGCTTGTGACACAACCGGCTGTGAGAACAAAAGCGTGGCTGTAAAGTCTGTGGAGAAGTGTAGACGACAGTACAGGCCAGCGGACTGACATACTGCAAAAGACTGATGTATGTGTTTCTGGGGCTGGTTCGAAAGAAAAAATAACATGTCCTGACAAACCTGCAATCCCTCTTTCTAATGTTTAATACAAGTGTTATGGACATGTGGATCATGGAGCATAATCATATTGCCCATATATTCTGACTGAAAACCGTTATGTATTTGGCTGACAGCTCTTGGTCGCATGATACCAGGCTTCTACAACAGGCACGTATCTGAACTCAGCCCTACAGCAGCCTTCCACTTTCCAATCATTCCACTTCAAAGATGCTGCGTAGGGGTGTAAGGTACAGCAGGTACCCTTAAGGGGGTAATCATCTACTGACTGTTCTGACGAGGGGGTAAACAGGGCAAATAATATTTGGAACCACTGCTCTAAGGCAGAAATGTGCACACCGGTGTAAGCACTAAGGCAATGTAAAGTGCATCAAAAGTTCAAGTGAGGAATATAGTTTAATTATAGAACATCATAGCACATAAACACAGATTATAATCAATACAATGTTCTCTGGAGCATGTCGGGATGCTGTGAAGGATGCTGCAGGGACACACAAGCTCATCATCATCCAAATCATTCCAAAGTCTGCAGCAGGAACATTTCCCATGGTACAGTGTCGATGCTCCCTTGACATGCAATCATGTAACACACAAGTGAAACATACTTCTGCTGACAGTCCATAGCTCCTACATGACTTGCACTTCCAAAACCCTCTTTCAGCAGCAGGAATGTTTACAGCAGTTGAGTGTGTGCTCAAAGGAACACACACATACACACATAAGACAGGCAGCCACGCGTATGCAGGCACACAGCCCTGTGCTCCCTCAGGCGGTCTGGTTGTAACATGATACTTCGTCTTGGAGCATTTCGCACATGCCTTCGTGGACAGTTCCCACACTCCCAGCCGCCTCAGCCTGTCTGACCTTTGCCAAGTACGCCACCCTCCCCACTCTGCCCCCTGAGCAGCCTTCCTCCTACTCCTCATCATCTTCTCCCAGGGCCTGCGGTTTGGACAGCTGTGGCCAAGCTGCTGCACGGCTTGTGGAAAACATCCGCCACACATGGAGGGCTGCACTAGTTCTGCCTGGCCTCTGGTGACATTCCCAATTGAAAGAACACACAATTGGAACCATGTATTGAGGGAAAACAAAAACAAATTATCAAGCAGATATGATTCAAGGCCAAATGTGAAGGAGAAAAAAGAAAACATTATCATTACAATAAAGAACTGAATCCACCTCAAAACCATTTCAGTTGGATTTTAAAACAAATACATTACATTGCTACTAAAGCCACATGTTGACTGCTTTGATGGCAGTCTGAAATTAAACTTCTATGAGCAAATATCTTCTTTTAGTGGATTCTCTGCAGTACATGGGCTAATCTAATACAACATGGCTCCAATTTGCAGCCACCCTACTGACAGTGTGGTCCGCCGCCGCAGCCTCGGTACACAGGCCGTCCATCTGCACCACCTCCATAGCCAGCTTCCGCATATGACATTCATTTGGTTTAGGATCTGGACTCTGGCCACTGCTGCTCCAATGAGTTCACAGGAGTCACTCAAACACACAGGAAACCAAGGAAATACATATGGATCTATGAATGAGCAGGACAGAGGCTAAGAGTAACTGTCTGTCAATGCATTGTTGGTGACACTTCCTTTGTTGCATATATAAAAACAGAGAAAGTATTTCCCTGTGTTTCCTCACCTTCCCTTCTTCACACAAGGATAAAAAATTAAGTGCGATGAATAGACGGGATGGCGTAAGATGGAGGATTACACCCCTGGATGGAATTTGGAAGTGAGTAGCTTTACAGTAAAGAAAAATATATATGAAACTAACTAGTATGTGTTGCTAGGACATTGCATCACATTTTTGCTGTGTTGGAGTCAGGATTATGACTGGAAACAAGAGTCTTGGCAAGGCAGCTGAGGCATCCTGGTCTGACAAACAGGGATTCCTCTGCTCGTGGCACACACACCAGGCATCATCTTCTAAAAACAACATTTGCTGTATGTATATCTGTGCAGTTTATCATATAGAATGTGTGATCTACAAACTCAACCACATAGTCCGAAGCCTTTGTAAACACAGTGTAAAGTATTCACTTTTACACTTTTTGTATTGTTCTGAATATATTTTGTTGCCAATTCATGTGAAATACACATAAACAAAGTAAAACGTTTTACAAATAACAAACTGAGAAGTGTGGCTTACAATAGTATTCAGCCTCATTTTCTCCAGTTGCCTTTAAAAGTCGCCAGATAAATGATGGAGAAATGTTGACCTAATTGACTCTAGAGTGTAATCTACTCTCAGTATTCCAGCAGGTCTCTAAACACGAGGAAGTCCAAGGAACACACTGTTCAATCAGGGATGAATCAATGAAGACGTTTAAAGCTTACCCAAGCTTTCAACATCACACAACAAACCCTGCTCAAACCATCATTTGGAATGGAAATAGTATGGCACAAATCATTAAATGGCCCTAATCTGTCAAAAGGCATTAATAAACAATGCTTTTTTCGAATACTTATTTAACTGATAACAGTAGTTTCTAATTTCGAAATTAGATTTACAGCCCCTAAATCTCGTTATTGTTTTCCTTTCGATGTCCCGCCCTCCGCCGTTTCACCAATCAGAAAGTCTGTGATCCCGGTTGCCAGAACTCACTGTGTCTAGCCAATCTCACTGGTAAAGCAACATGTGGCTGCAGGACTTAAAAAGGTATGACAAAACAAGGAATGAAACGCGGATTTCTATCGGGGTCTTTGTGAGAATGTTGTTGGTTATAGATGTGTTGTTAACAAAACTCTTGTCTATTCAGATATTATGGTCCCAGCTGGTTTTGTCGGCATATCTGGCAACCTGAGTCAGGGAGAGTGGGAGACGTTGCAGTACCACTTTTGGCCAGATGTTTACATACTGCTCCTTTGAGTTACTTTGGAATTGTCTGTCACTTTGGGTTAGTCTTTCACATAAAATGCCATACAAATCTTAAATGTAGCAATGTGTTTTCTTTTAATAAAAAGTATTTCTGGTTAAAACATTTAGAATAAAGAATATGTGTTATGATACTGAGCTCCATGTGAGCTCCTCACCCCCTCTCTCCTGCTCTCTGTGGCCGGTCTGCACACCTGAATGCTATCGCTCATCACCACAGTACTTATCAGTTCTCTTGCAGACCTCAGTCTTCTACCATCCTCGTGCCAATCGCAAGCCACGTCACCAGTTATTCCTTCTTCGGTCCAGCCCCAATCCTGCTCCAGCTCCCCCTGCTACTTACTCCTCCTGCTACCTACTCCAGTTCCATCCCCAACCACTGCGTGTTCAACCTTCATTTTCTGTTAAATAAACCTGTTAATCCGTCCTTCGTCTCGCTGCATGGGTTCACTTTTTTGGTCGTAACAATATGAAAATAAGTGTCTATATACAATAAATAATCACATGAACATCACACGATTGCCGGCTGTAATGTTCACTATTTATTTCATTTGTCTAACTTTTTAAAGTCATTTGAATTTTAGAGTTAATGTTGGCTTTAGAATGCGGAGCGAGCAGCTGTGACGTTAACAAAGGCCCGATCAGACTTCACACATAGTTTTCTGCTGCCACTGACAAGTGAGCACAAGTGCATTATATTTATATGTGAATTAATGAATGAAGGAATTTCTTATGGTCCTGTACACAGTGCTTTCATTGAAGACACCTCCTCCTTAACCCTTCTTTCAAAGTGTGTCCAGAAAACACACCTCAGGTTCATCCTGTTGACACGGGTTGACAACTTTTCCTAATCAATAATAAGATGCACTCACTTTTAGGATTAACAGACAGGGAAGAAGCCTTGTTTTAAAAATAATTAATAATTTTTTATGCTATTTTGCAGTGAGTGTTTGACCGATTCAAACTATTGTATAATGAAGATGCAATAATCCTGCAAACATAGATACCTTTACTTCACTCCTTTGCCCTCCCCTCATGGAAGTAGCACATTGGCTGCAAGGACTTTCGCTCCAAGGCTGTAGTTGTTTAAAACAAAAAAGAAAAAAAAGGGTGATGGAAAAAAACAACACCAAAAAAACACCAAAAGAAATGCAGCAGGAAAAAAAAGTTGAGTTGAAAAGCAAGAATTTTCTTGCGTTCTGGTCCATGCCCAGTGCATCCCTGGATGCCAGAGTCTTTCATCATTTGGCAGGCTGGTTGTGCAGTTCAGATTTACCTCTTGGCTGCAGGCTAGCAAGCCACAGTTTGCTTTCCACAAGCATGAAACAAAAAAAGAGATGGATACAAAGCACACGGATAAGTCTTTCATGCAACAAAATAACCTCTGGAGTCATCCATTCCACTCATGGGCCATGCTCTTTATAGTCTCTGTTCTAGAATCTCTTCTCAGTTTGTGAATCCTTGTCAATATGAAACACACAGTACTGACAGCAATAGCTTCCTCTAATGAATCGAGTGTGAGTGAATGATAGGTGGTGGTTGGTTGATGGTGCAGACTGGTAGCCATGCCAGTTCATCCCAGGGCATCTGTGGCTACAGTTGTAGCTTGCATCACAACGTGTGGAGTGAAGCAATGTAAAGTGTTGTAAAGCAATGTAAAGTGGGTGTCTTGATGACTATAGCTGCTGTTGTCCCCATTAAAAAACAGGTTCCATCTACAGTGCCTTGCGAAACTTTTTGCCACATTTCAGGCTTCAAACATAAAGATATGAAAATTAAATTTTTTGTCAAGAATCAACAACAAGTGGGACACAATCGTGAAGTGGAACGAAATGTATTGGATAATTTAAACTTTTTTAACAAATAAAAAACTGAAAAGTGGGGCGTGCAATATTATTCGGCCCCCTTGCGCTAATACTTTGTAGCGCCACCTTTTGCTGCAATTACAGCTGCAAGTCGCTTGGGGTATGTCTCTATCAGTTTTGCACATCAAGAGACTGGAATTCTTGCCCATTCTTCCTTGCAAAACAGCTCGAGCTCAGTGAGGTTGGATGGAGAGCGTTTGTGAACAGCAGTCTTCAGCTCTTTCCACAGATTCTCGATTGGATTCAGGTCTGGACTTTGACTTGGCCATTCCAACACCTGGATACGTCTATTTGTGAACCATTCCATTGTAGATTTGGCTTTATGTTTTGGATCATTGTCCTGTTGGAAGATAAATCTCCGTCCCAGTCTCAGGTCTTTTGCAGACTCCAACAGGTTTTCTTCCAGAATGGTCCTGTATTTGGCTCCATCCATCTTCCCATCAATTGTAGCCATATTCCCTGTCCCTGCTGAAGAAAAGCAGGCCCAAACCATGATGCTGCCACCACCATGTTTGACAGTGGGGATGGTGTGTTCAGGGTGATGAGCTGTGTTGCTTTTACGCCAAACATATTTTTGCATTGTGGCCAAAAAGTTTGATTTTGGTTTCATCTGACCAGAGCACCTTCTTCCACATGTTTGGTGTGTCTCCCAGGTGGCTTGTGGCAAACTTTATACGAGACTTTTTATGGATATCTTTGAGAAATGGCTTCTTCTTGCCACTCTTCCATAAAGGCCAGATTTGTGCAGTGCACAACTGATTGTTGTCCTATGGACAGACTTTCCCACCTTAGCTGTAGTTATCTGCAGTTCATCCAGAGTGATCATGGGCCTCTTGGCTGCATCTCTGATCAGTCTTCTCCTTGTTTGAGATGAAAGTTTGGAGGGACGGCCGGGTCTTGGTAGATTTGCAGTGGTCTGATACTCCTTCCATTTCAATATAATTGCTTGCACAGTGCTCCTTGAGATGTTTAAAGCTTGGGAAATCTTTTTGTATCCAAATCCAGCTTCAAACTTCTCCACAACAGTATCTCGGACCTGCCTGGTGTGTTCCTTTGTCTTCCTGGTTCTCTCTGCGCTTTAAACAGAACCCTGAGACTATCAAAGAGCAGGTGCATTTATACGGAGACTTGATTACACACAGGTGCATTCTATTTATCATCATCAGTCATTTAGGACAACATTGGATCATTCAAAGATCCTCACTGAACTTCTGGAGTGAGTTTGCTGCACTGAAAGTAAAGGGGCCGAATAATATTGCACGCCCCACTTTTCAGTTTTTTATTT